GAGTGCCGTGTCGCAGCAGAGAGAAAACAGGCTGCCTAGAGCTGAAGAGGGAAACGAGACGCATTTGCAGACAGAAAAAGTAAGAGTCCGAAATGCGTGAGTACGAAGAGCTTGATAAGCTGGGCGACAGTTTTCTACGAAAAAATGCGGCGGCTTACAGAAAGTTTCAAGACCGGAGTAGACTCTTGTAGAACCCCCAAAGGTGATCTAGTCCCCGATGCCCAGAAGAAGTTCGAATAGCAATTACCCGCCTGAAGAACAACAAAGCGGCGGGGGCCGATGGATTGCCGGCCGAGCTATTCAAACACGGCGGCGAAGAATTGTTAAGGAGCATCAGCTTCTTTGTAAAATATGGCCAGACGAAAGCATGCCCAACGATTGAAATTTTAGAGTGCTATGCCCAATGGACAAAAAAGGAGACCCCACAATCTGCGCCAACTACCGTGGGATTAGCCTCCTCAACATCGCATATAAGGTTCTATCGAGCGTAGTGTGTGAAAGATTAAAGTACAGTCGGAGTTGCCTTTATGCCGCGATGTCTGAATTTGGTATCCCCACAAAACTAATATGGCTGTGTAAGCTGACGTTGAGCAACACCAAAACCGCCGTCAGAATAGGGAAGGACCTCTCCCCTATCGGCATATGCCGATGATATTGATGTCATCGGCCTCAACACCTGCGCCGTTGGTTCTGCTTTCTCTATACCGGACAAGGTAGCAAAACAAATGGGTCTGGCAGTGTGGCATATAAGGTTCTATCGAGCGTAGTGTGTGAAAGATTAAAGTACAGTCGGAGTTGCCTTTATGCCGCGATGTCTGAATTTGGTATCCCCGCAAAACTAATACGGCTGTGTAAGCTGACGTTGAGCAACACCGAAACCGCCGTCAGAATAGGGAAGGACCTCTCCGAGCCGTTCGATAGCAAACGAGGTTTCAGACAAGGCGATTCCCTATCGTGCGACTTCTTCAACCTGCTTCTGGAGAAAATAGTTCGAGCTGCAAAACTCAACAGAGAAAGTACCATCTTCTCTAAGAGTGTACAGTTGCTGGCGTATGCCGATGATATTGATGTCATCGGCCTCAACACCTGCGCCGTTGGTTCTGCTTTCTCTATACCGGACAAGGTAGCAAAACAAATGGGTCTGGCAGTGAACGAGGGCAAGACGAAACTGTCGCGCAGTCGCAACTTGGCACTCACGTCACTGTTGGCAGTCGTAGATAATTTCGTCTATCTTGGAACCAGCGTAAACACCACCAACAATGTCAGCCTGGAAATCCAACGCAGGATAACTCTTGTCAACGGGTGCTACTTCGCACTGAGTAGGCAATTGAGAAGCAAAGTCCTCCCTCGACAAACAAAAACCAAACTCTATAAGTCACACATAATTCCAGTCCTGCTATATGGTGCAAAGGCTTGTTTATCGAGAGAAAAGTTCTGCGAAAAATGTATGGTCCTTTGCGCGTTGGCCACGGCGAATATCGTATTCGAAGGAACGATGAGCTGTATGGTATATATGACGACATTGACATAGTACAGCGAATTAAAAGACAGCGGCTACGCTGGCTGGGCCATGTTGTCCGAATGAACGAAAACACTCCAGTTCCGAAAGTATTCGACGCTGTACACGCCGGGGGAACCAGAGGAAGAGGAAGACCTCAACTCCGTTGGAAGAAGCAGGTGGAGAAGGATCTGGCTACGCCTAAAATCCATTGCGCCTAAAACGTTCTATAAAAGATGTTAGTAAGCCATTACCTATACAAATAATCCAATCAAATTTTTATAACAAATCTGTGTAATGGCGTTGTAGTGCAGAAATATTCACATATTGACATTTTCAATGCATTTTTTGAAAGCGCTTTTATAAATATCTTTAAAAATAGTTTGTTTTACCACAAATTTATAATCGAGATACTTCTTAGCTCGCGGGTAACTACATTTTCCATGCCTACAAATGTCTGCTCGTTAAAAGAGGCATTCTACAAAGCACTTAATTATGACATAAACAAATTTATTTAAGGATTCTATAATTTATGTGAGATTATATAATTGATTCTCTGCCCGAATTCATTGTGAAGCCTGTGGCACTCATCCGAAATTTGACCTTCAAATGGCTCCGGAAAGCGGCAATAAATTTGAGGGGCCTAGTAAAAATAGTATGTGTGGCTATGTTAAGTAAAACCGTCGTTAAGATATATGTATATATGGATGTCCAAACGTGTATATTTGTATATGTGTAATAACTATTGCTCTATTTGCTAACTTACGATTCATTTGGGTAATCTTGACAATTCGTCCGCATAGCACTGTGGGCGAAATCCATTGAATTTAGCTTTCTTTTTAAAATATTTGAATACCTAAATTTTCGTTCTTACCTCCTCAGTCAACAGCCAAGTCGAAGTCAAAATGAAAAATTGTATCATTTCTTGTGTTTAAATATTATATTTATTTGATACTTATATGAAATACTCCTTACACTAACAAAGCACTTATTAATTTTTACTGCATTGAACCTAGACACACTACAATAATAAAAAGGGCTCCACAGTAGATATATGCTAGTGCTTCTTTCCACTCTTTCATTCCAGTTGGAATAATGTTCTTATTAATTCGAAATGAAAACGGACTACCCATTCTGATCGTGTGTGAAGTACTTGAAAACTCAATATATCTGGCTGAGAGAGGATGTAATTTAATACACGACTTTTAGTGTCAGACGCTTTAACTCTGGTTGTAAATATATGTCTTGTAAGAGAAAATGTGGAATTATTTATTGTTCGCTAGATTTTTCGTGTTTCTTTGCAATTGATAAATTTTAATGCGCGAATTAAATTCAGTAATTAATTCGAGTTCGTATAAAAGTTCACAACATAGCTCAAATAATTTGGCACAAGGGATCGCAGTAGCAAGGGACATTGTGGTCCTGCCTTCTATTTTGTTTAATGTATATCAATCCTAAACGATTTAAGCTACAATAACCAAATCGACATCGGATGATATAACTGTACTGTTAAAACTACTAAAAGTGCGACAATGACTAAATATGCCAGATGAATACAATTTTACACCCCAAATGGTATGAGAGGGCTTTAGCGGAGTCGACGTAAAATTGAACGATGGTCGCGCAACCGGCCACTTTTAGCTGAAATCGCATTTCTCGCGACACGTGCTACCGATTTCCACCAAATTTAGTACATGACATTCCTTTGACATTTTTATGTTACATACAGTCTAAAAATTGGCAAAATCGGACCACATTCACGCCCACTTCCCATATAAAACAATGGCAAATTCCATTTGAAACTTTCATTTCACAGTTAAAAATAGGTAGAGTCGGATCAAAACTTCCCTGAGCCTCTATATACTTAATACAAAGATTTTCGAACTTCCGGCTTGCTGGAGATTAACCGCATATATCGGCCAATACGTAAGTTATCCAAATGATAATAAAATAGATAAAATTAGACAACAACTTGACCTACCCGCATATAACTAATATCAAGATGTGTGGTACTTTATGAAAAACAGGACGCATTTTTTAGTATGTGGCATTGACAAAAATAGAAAAAATCGGGTCGAAACTCAAGTCGATACTTAATGTAAAGTTTTGCCAGAGTATAAAAGGTATTCGGTTACACTCGAACTTAGCCTTTCCTTACGGTAAATATGGTACATCACTGTTTTTGCGTTGTTTAGAGTAATCAGCAGAATAGAGTCCTGGACTTCTTTTGCATTAAAAATTGATTTAACGGGAAATTTTCCTTTGCAGCATAAAAACACTCAACTTTATCCATTTGAAGCATAAGGAAAATAAGAAGAAAATTACGCTCTGTGAATTTCATTAAGATAGCTCATTGACATTGATATAAAACTAATCAAATTTCTTTGTATTAGGTACATGGGGACTAAGGAAAGTATTGACCCGATTTTTCCCATTTTGGACACAAGGACATACTATTGTCAGCAAAAGATTTTATCCGTATTTCAATAATATCTAACAGACTCAACGATGTTTCCGGTAAAAGTCAGCCGTAGGCGCTGGGTTTCATTTATTCAGTATTTGGAGATTAACAAGTTATGATCTGATTTCCACAAGTTTTAGGCGTGATATGTCATAACTTAGAGGTACTATTTGCGCAAAGTTTTACTTCCACAACGTCATTAACTCTCGTTTACCATTAATTAAGGAATAACATTGGACTTAGTCTTATTTATATACATATGAGAAGTAGGCGTGATTGTTGTTTGATTTTACCATTATATTCGTACTGTGGCATGAAAACGTTGAAATAATGTAATGAATCAAATTGGGTGGAAATTGGTCGAGTATTTACTTAATATATGATTGCACAATTTTTACTCGGTTATCGGTTTGTTTGAGACCTTTCTGCATCATATATATTTTCCACATAATCGTTAAATGAGGTGTGACCGGGGTTATCATCCACCTCCATTCATTTTTACACCATCGGAGAAAGTGCTGAACAGATTCGTCTAGAGCAAATTTGGTTCATGTAGCTTTGGTGCATTGTGAGGTATTTCCATTGAACTTAGTAGGGGCGGAGCCACACCCACTTTTTAATATTTTTAAACCGCAGATGCACACCCCTACGGCGATTCGATTTACCGAACTACCCGTTTCTTTATATGTTTTTTTATATATAGATTAATGCCATTTACCAAGTTTCATCAAGATATTTTAATATGCCTATTTATTTTATGAGAATTTATGAATTATGGCGACTAGGGGAGTCTGATTTTGATCATTAGATTGTGTATTCAGAAATTAGTGATTTTTGCCAATAGACACTCTAAAAATTTATTCTGTCGGCAAGAATTATTTTATCATAACTTCTACTAAGATTTTTCTTCGAAGCATTATCAGATTTGTGTTTGAGGTGTGAACAAGATTAGATAAATTTCATGATAAGTTACTATAGAAGTTGCGAAAGTTGCATCGAATGCATTTACCTTTGTTGGCCAGATAATAAAAAATCAATTAATTAAACAACATATTTGGTTTACATTTTACCAAATTCCATATATTAACTTAGTTTTGAATACATTTTTCCTATTTCACGTTTTCTCATTATTATTATAATACCATAAATGATAGCAGCTAGCACACCTACACTCAGTAATGCAACCGCGAAATAGTAAATAAATAAATCAAAAAGATGTAATTGACTGAAAGGTATGTTCCCACCAAAGGTTTTTAAATCTGCTCCGCCCTTATGGCGTAATACATAGTCCATCCAGTACATGCACGTTTCCACAGCACCTAACGGCCGATCACGGAAGGTAGCGGCCACCTGACGTATTGTCAACTGATATGTGCTGTCCTCTTTGATGGTCTGCAGCGCCCAATTGAGTGCCGTCTCCGTTAAGTTATTATGGTTCAGATGAATTCCAACACCGAGTTGCACTGTTAATTCCGCGTTGCGCACTTCATTTCGAAATATAGGCACAGAAATCATAGGCACATGCCGCATTATACCTTCCTGTGTACTAAGTAAATCACCGTTCATAAGAAATATATGCACATGCGGATGTGCCAATATATCTGCTTGTGGCACCGCATGTTGGACCATTATATTGGTATGTAAATTTTTCAACGCTGTGTGATCGTGACAAGTCCACACCACACGCTCTTTTCGTTTGCCCAGTGTATTTAGGAGTATTTGCATTATGTGTTTTGGTACGTCTGTACAGAGTTGTTCATTGCCAAGGTTCATGTAGATGACGCCTGCTCGCGATTCATCCAGGAAGCGACGAAGTGGCCAAGGTAATTCACGTGGTGGTCGTATGTGCATACCGCCGGCAGCTACGGTATTTAATAGCAACGGTCGAGGCCGTAACAATGGGACGTGACTGTTGAGCAACAATATTGTCAACTCAGCTTGTAACGTCCCGATGTTGAGTTCGTTCACGCCTTTAAAATTAATAGACATATTTAATTCAATACGTGAAAACATACTACATAAACGTACTTGCTCTGCAACAGGTACATATGAATTTAGATATTATTGTAATTTACCTTTAAATTGTGAAAAATGTTTTCGCATCACTGATTCTTGTGCGCCCCAATTGTCTTTAATAAATTGTTTTCGTCGTGACATACAATTACGGATGACCCCTAATCGATTCCAATAACCCACCTCTGGTTTGTAAGTTTCATAACTGATAGGTGAACAGGCGGCCGGTACCATTTGCTCTAACACACGATCCATGTAACTCTCAAAATTCGTGTTTAAAATACCAATTGTAGGCTTGTCGAAAAAATGTCCCACTGCCAGCAAAGCCTCGGTATAGAATAAATCCACTATTATCAAATCATAATCAAATTCATTGACAGGTAAATTAAGCAATTTCTTTACGGCTTCATTTGACAAGAAGTAATTAACCGCATTGGCACCCGTAGTGGCCAGAGACTGTTGTATTGTCCTTTCGGTTAGTTTGCTAGCTTTAAGGAGGCCTCCTTCTTGGCTCCCCGTTATTTCTAAAACTGAAGATAAAGTGTAATGATAATGTTATGAAGGTTGCGCAAGAATAAATCCGAGGTTATCCCCAACAAATATAAGTTGGAGTTTTTTTTTTAATTTTATAGAGTGTAATTTCTGTAAAAGTTCCGCGAAAGATTTATGGTCCTTTGCGTGTTGGCCACGGCGAATATCGCATTCGAAGGAACGATGAGCTGTATGAGATATGTATATGACGACATTGACATAGTTCAGCGAATTAAAAGACAGCGGCTATGCTGGCTAGGTCATGTTGTCCACTTTACAACGATGTCACGATGTGATTGGCAAATGGTTTGTCAGACATGAAAATATAAACGAGTTATACATGCACTGAGCGAAATCGTTATATGGGACACTGAACAAATGGGTTGTATTTTATAATAAAATTATCAATGAAACATTGTTAGCCTTCAAATAAGCGAAGAAAGCAACATGTTCAGAAATTTAATTCAGTATTTTATTGTAGAAATACTACAACAGACCGCAGAAGGAAATATACATATATAATTATATATGGGCAACATTAAATATATAATCGGGGTTAAGGAAACATTTAATAGCTTGTATGTCATCCGTTTGATATTGCGACTGATATTAGAAGTCGTAGCATCGAATTTGCGAGTGACTTAAGAACTCTCAGGTCAATTCTTGTCCTTTTTTCATGAATTGCTCTTTTGAGAAGCAATAATCAAATTGGTGTTCAACTTTGTAAATTTGCTTGCAAAGAATGCTCTAGAGATTGAGAGACTCCGAAGATCTATTATATTTAGAGAGACATATACATATGTATGTATGTCTGTGGTATTTAATTTACAAGTTTACATGTTATTTAATATATAATATATAAATTATATAAGTATCATCAGTAATCATATCACATACATTGCTTCCAAAAAGGAAATTCCGGCTCAACAATTATTTCTCGTAGCCTTTCTAAACGTTCATTTAGGCGGTGACTGCTATAAACGGTAACCTTAAATAAAAAAGCTTTTAAATGAAACGATTTAAATTAGAAGCATATTGAGCTATCTTACATTGTGTTCCCGCTTTGTTAATTCCAACATTAAACTTCGCATTACTGCGAAATGGCTTTCACTGGGGTGTGCAAATAAGCCAAGAATTTTAGCTCCGTCGACCACGGCTAGATTCCATGAAAGCGAACGCAGAATTATAATTGGCAGAAAAAACTTTTGGTATATCATTTTAATCTGAAAAAGAGAAATTAGTGCAAAATAAGATGATATCAGTTTAAGATCAAAACAAATTCAGGTTTGTGTGAATTCAGATCAGTAGTGATTAGAGTATATGTTGCCTGGAGAAATATCGTATTTTTATATATTTTTACTAAGTAATTAAGGTCGATAGGAATATGTTATACGTATTTGATAAGCAAATTATCAGTATACCTCACGGCGAACAGGTCTACATAACCAGAACCAATCCGGATTTTGATTCGGCTAAGCACTGTCAATTGGGCAGCATTCCTCAAAAAAATTTGGGTAAAGTTTTCTACAACAATAAGATCACAAGCATGTAAAATCTTTCAAAAATATGTTTAAATAACTAAATTTATCACGATGCCAATGATACAAAATAAATATTTAAGAAACATGCTTTGTACTTGATATTTAGTTTCATATAGCAATATTAAGCGGAATAAATTCCATTAGAATACTTCAAATATTGAACAAAAGATGATATAATGTATACAGAGACAAGGGAGACCATTTTATTCGGTATATAGACGCTAGCCAAGTTAGTTATAATATACAAGTAAGGAAGGGCTAAATTCGGCTGTCACCGAACATTTTATAGTCTCGCATGATAAAGTGATAGTCGAGATTTCAGGCGTGGTTGTGAACCGATTTCAGGGTGTTAAGAAAATATYATATACCGAATTTCATTGAAATCGGCAGAGTACTTCCTGAGATATGGTTTTTGGTCCATAAGTGAGTGACGCCACGCCCATTTTCAATTTTTAAAAAAAGCCTGGATGCAGCTTCCTTGTGACATTTCTTCCGTAAAATTTAGTGTTTCTGACGTTTTTTGTTAGTCGGTTAACGCACTTTTAATGATTTTCAACATAACCTTTGTATGGGAGGTGGGCGCGGTTATTATCCGATTTCTTCCATTTTTGAACTGTATATGGAAATGCCTAAAAGAAACGACTCTATATATGTAGTTTGGTTGACATAGCTATAGTATTTTTCGAGATATGTATAAAAAAGTTATTAGGGGGCGGGGCACGCCCACTTTTCCAAAAAAATTACGTCTAAATATGCCCCTCCCTAATGCGATCCTTTGTGCTAAACTTCATTTTAATATCTTTATTTATGGCTTAGTTATGACACTTTATAGGTTTTCGGTTTCCGCCATTTTGTGGGCGTGGCAGTTTGCCCATCTTCGAACTTAACCTTCTTATGGAGCCAAGAAATACGCGTACCAAGTTTCATTATGATATCTCAATTTTTACAGCTTGCACGGACGGACGGACAGACGGACGGACGGACGGAAAATTACGAGTTCGAGAATGGGTGTAATCTGATCGCTGTCACGCCCACAAATCGCCATTAACTAACTAAAAGCGCAACAAACCAATAACATAGACATTAAATTTTACCTTCGTGATGGTACTACATATAATGAGTTTCAGTGTATGACTTATATAGTATATGCATATACTACTGTGGTCAAATTGAAATTTGAAATTTTTATACTCTCGCAACAAAGTTGCTAAAGAGAGTATTATAGTTTTGTTCACATAACGGTTGTTTGTAAGTCCTAAAACTAAAAGAGTTAGAGATAGGGTTATATATACCAAAGTGATCAGGGTGACGAGTAGAGTTGAAATCCGGATGTCTGTCTGTCCGTCCGTCCGTGCAAGCTGTAACTTGAGTAAAAATTGGCTCTGAATTTATTGAGCGAAGAAGTGCGTAATGCACCATCTCATCCTGCATTGGTCATTTCGCCACATTTTCAACTTATACCATGCCGCAAGCACCTCATTCGCCTGATTTATCTTCGTGTAACTTCTGGATATTCAGCAAATTCACATGATCACTCTAAGGACACCGTTTCGACTGAATTGAGGATATAAAAGCTGAATCGAAGAAGGCTCTGATGGCCATCACGACGGAGGATTTTTCCAATAGCATAAGTGTATTGCAGCGGGATTGGATTTCTATGAAGGAAATGAAGTGGACAAAATTCACCATTCAGTTTGATCACAGCAGTACAAAATTGCTTGGATTTCGATCTCTGGTTGACGCCTTACACCTTAAGGTATTTCTCTGCTTTTTATTCTACCAAGAGTATAGAATGTGCGGTTGCACTAGAACTTAGCCCTTCCTTCTAATGTCTTGTTTCAATACATTTTTACTATTATCATAACAGTTTTACAAACCCGCAAATTATGTAAGTTTGTTATAATCAGTGTATTATACATACAATATGTATGTGTGCAATTCATACTTCTCAACGGATGTGTACAAAACTTTCACATAAATAACTATACTCTAGATACAAACATAAATGTAGTACATACATACATTCATACATGTATTGTATGTCCAAAATTATTATTCATGGATTCTCTCTGGACTTATCACCATTCGACATTTAAGACGACCTCAATAGTAACAGAGATTAAATAAAGAACACACTTTAAAAGTGATTTTTTAGCTTTTTTTAGACTATATTGACACCTATTTGACTAATATTTCTCACAAGTTTTGAACACTTAAATTAATTTTTATTTGATTGACATTTTTACTCTAGGTAATTTCTTTCAATTTTTAATTTTTTCACACTCCCAAAGCGCTTGCAACGTTTGAAAAATACTCTTTAACTAACTTTTATTTTACCCCTGTCGACCCTGTATAAAGAACTAAATAAAGAAGAATCGATCGCATCATGCTGGAGTCCAGAGCGAGTACAAACAAACTAAGTTATACATACATATGTTTATTTATATGTTAATTTTGTGGCATATGGTCATACAATCGCACTTGTTTGTGAGTAGTCTTGCCATGTTTTCATGTTTGAATGACAACAGTACGTATTCGAAATTTCGGTTAAACGAATCCAAGAGTAAATGCCTATTTAATTTAATTTAATTCAAAATTTAGAGTAACTGAATAATTATACTTGTAAAACAGTTTAGCAAAAATAAAAATCAAAAATCATGTGTTCTTTTTAGATACAATTTCAAGGGCAAAATTAAATAATACATCAGAATTGTTGCTTTCTTCCCGCCAGAATATTATCGATATTACATAGTTCTGTAAGTCCAAAATAAGGAAAATATTGCGGAACTTCTTTTAATCAATATTGGTAAAATTTATAATAATGATTTAAATGGCAACATTGGTTGTATGTATGTATGTGAAAGGCGATATGTTTAGCTGACAATGCTTTTAGACTACCCGCTCTCATTTTGTGCCGTTTATGAGGCTGTGTACGAGAATAAATTTATGTATTAAGCTTTGAATACAAAGACAGCGGCACGACACGACTGCACAACAGTGAAATTTTTTGGCTGCAAATGTCGTACACAACTTCGTAATTCCCGTACTAAAACTGTTCACTGGAACGAAATTTAAATGTTTTGTTCAAAGTGAAATTTTTTGTCGCAAAAATAAAAAAATAGGTGTAATCGTTTATAGATTTATTATTATAAACTGTTATTACAAATGAAAGTTTAGAGCTTTTTTATGCTTCCATTGGATTTCCGTTAGACTTGTTAAAGCTTTGAATAATTTTATATTATATTTCAAATCTTAATGACAGCACTGCATTATCGTCGGCAAAATTAGAAATGGTTTTAATTTAGCGACCGCGACAATTGCAAGCCTGCTCCCCTGAAGTTGCGCTGTTGTCCAAATAACTGTTCCCTTAAAAACATGTGTATTTTAATTTTTGACATATGCCGCCAGTCGCTTTTCGCCATTTATGTGTTCAATGCATGAATATTACCTCCTATACGATCAAAAGCAATTCTTTAGCGCTCATTTAGAAAAAACGTAAGGGAGCAACAAATCTCTGTACAGCCGAACTCGAGGCATATTAAATATGAGAAACGACTTCTCTTGCAGGAACGAAATCGATGAACCCATTTTTCGAGTACTTTTTCCACCAAATGAGACGTCATGAATAGCACGTTCAATATTGACATCTAAAGCTGGAAGAGAGTCTGATTTATTGCTAAAGATAAATGACTTCAAATAACTCCACAAGAAGTAGTTTAATGGTGTTAAATTACAATTTTTTGGAGGACTTTCAAATTAACAATTTCTTAAAGTAATCGGAACTCCAATATTTTCTCGTCACGATTCGGTTGTTGAATGTAATGGTTGTTCATGAATAATTTGTGGGTTTTCTTCGCACCAGAGTCGGCAGTTTTGATTATATACAGCACCACTCAGAGAATGGAGAATCGTAGATTTTTTTTTAAACATAATCGGTTTGAAGATGTTATAAGGTAAAACAGCAAATTTACGACGTTTATGGTGATCCAATGATGTGAGCTCTTGAATGAGAACAATTTTATATGGATGCAAGTCCAAATCCTTTCTCAAAACCCGTCAGTTTGTGGTTTGAGACAGTCCCAATTCTTGAGAACGTCTTGGAATCGAATAATGGCGATCTTCAGCAACACTTGCCTGAACGGCAGCAATATCTTCATTACTACGAGTGGTTCTTTGTCTTATTGACACTTGAAGAAAATGTATACTCCTACTTTTATAATTGAACAATACCGAGCACCGGCGAACAATTATTACGACCACAAAGTGGCAAAAGCGTATGAAAAGTTGAAATTGGAGAACGATTATTTTGACAATAAAATTGTAAACGTTTTTTTGTTTCCTTAGAATTTCATATTTTTAATATACATAGGATACTCCTGCAACAATAATATTTTAGTAACTTAAGTAAAGCGGGCTCACTTGGCAATATTTCCCACATTACTGCTCACTCAGCAAAATAGAATGCTTTTTTAATCCAGGTTTATGTACATACTCTTGTGAACAACACAATAGGGTAATCCCTTCCGATTTTCGGCAGTACCTATTACACGAATTAATTCAAATATTATATCTAATCTTATTATCCACTACAAATATGAAAAAATATTAAATATTAAATTTAAAAGTAAATTTAAATTAAAAGAGCTCTAAAATATATCAATCAATTAAATGTTATTCGATGTAAATATTGGGCCAAAGACAAAAAAAATTTTAAAATTAATATTTTTTCTTCAAGTATTTGGACGTAAAGGTGTTTGTTCATAGTTTTTAGTAAAATACATTGGTTCAACGCCCGGAACAATACCCCGACACCACAATTCATCCTTGACACTCATGCTATCTTTTCACTACGTTATTAATTCTTTTGTAGCGTTTAATTATTTTACCGTTTGCCTTGAGTGTTCTTAACTAAGCACTTTAAGAACCTTCTTCAAAGTACCCGAGGGCCCAAAAGAATTTAATAAAATAGCGACTGCAGGTCCACTTTAAGTTTCTTGAAATTTAAATTTCTTAGCTATTTGTTTTGTGTCCGCATATTCGGTTCCTACGGGTTCGATTTGAATATTTTATAGTCATAAGGCGGCACAGATTAAAAGCATTATTTGTGCAAAGTTTTTTATTGTCAATCCTCAATTGCTTCTTGATTTGTGTAACCAAAGTGAAATAATCAAAAGGAATATATAATTGTGTTATATGGGAAGTAGGCCTGGTTATAACACGATGTCACCCATTTTCACACTGTGACATAGGAATTTTAAAATAATGCCTATTAGTGGGCGGGGATACGCCCTGCGACCTTTGCGGCTGCCTCTGTACCAAATTACAGTTTCTTAATTTATTGAATATTGAATGATAGTCCACTGCCTGTTGGGCTTGTGGTTCGTACTAGTGGTAAACCTCCTTTTAGGTTCCAATTCTAAATTTATCTTATTTTATAAGACATTTAATTAAAAAGCGGTATTTGGAAAAACTACCACGTCATAAACGAACATTTTATACTCTTGCAATTTGCAACGCCCAAAGCCAGACAAGTACTTTCAGGTATTGACAAAACTTGAGATAAGAAATGTTGAGTAAGAATTTTGCATTTTTTTTTGACAAATTCGAGAATGAGTTACAATCATATTTGATATCAGTAGTATTAAAAAAGATACTCGCTTATTGAATATATCAGCGAAAAGTCAATCAGATAAACGGAAACCACTATATTAGATATATGGGGATTAGACCTACAGTCCAATTATACTGCGGTTTGAAATTTAAAAATTTCCACTTTAAACCAATTGCAAATACGTACATACCACCATATGGACATAAAAGTTACCCAATATTGATACAACTAGCACATTTCTGTTTAAGTTGTCACATGTATTTGCATTTACTTTTGCCGTCACGTTTCTGTGATTGCAGCATGCGAATCTCACTGGCAACAAAAACAGTGTTCGAAATGAATTTTCACACACCTTCTAATAGCTATGGGCCAGGAAATGCGTATATGCGTGTAGGCAAGGATATTGGTTTGGTGTTATGAATTATTGTAAGGAAACAAATCATTTGAGTCTTTTGAATTGCTACAAATGGGGTTTCACTCGAAATTTAAATTAAACATAAACAGCTCTTGTGTCATTGAAGTGTACAACGGGCGGCAAGATAGGGCTGAATTAATTTTAATATTTTTTATTTTTTTTTTTTTATTTTATAAAAGCTTACATAATAACACAATTATTATACAAACTAAGAAAATACGCAGCACTAGCATCATGGGCTATCGGCCGAGGTAATTTTAATATATATTCTTATATTTCCTTAAATTTCTTTTGTATTCTTCAAATCAACAGTTTTGTTTAATAGACCACATTATTAATTTGTTAAATGTAATTAATCTTGTCTACGTAATTGATCCTGGCCACATTATTATTAAGTATTGACTATTATTCAGAGAAAGTTAACTAAAACTGACAAATAAGGAAGGGCTAAGTTTGGTTGTAATCGAACATTTCATGATCTTCTAAGTTAGAACGTTTTTTCACCTGATTTTATCCATTTTAAGCACCAGAAGGAACCGTTATTAGAAAAACACGTTCTCTCAATTTTACTAATACTATAACCTACAAATTTTGCCCATATATAGGGTATGAAATCCTTCATAAAGTTAAGCGGACGTTCGAAAATCTTCTGATCCGATTCAACCCTTATTTGACAAAAAGGCATACTAATATTAGAAAAGGATTCTCTAAGAATTTATATAATATATTTCACAGATTGTCCGATATTTTCAAATGGAATTTATAGTTCTGTTATATGGGAAGTAGACGAGTTTGCTATCCGATTTCGCTCATTTTTACAGCGTAACATAAAAAGCGTAAAGTAATATTATGTACTAAATTTGGTGGAGATCGATTTAGTTAGTCCTGAGATATGGATTTTCGCCGACATATGTCCATTGTCCAATTTTGACCTCAGCTTCTATAAAGTACTCTTGTATCATCATAGGTGTTTTAAGGGATTTTAAGTTTAATTGTGGGCGTGGGAGTGGTCCGATTACATCCTTCTACGAAGACGTTTTCACTCTTTTCTTCTTTACCTTATATTTAACTCGATTATATTTAGATTGTACAAACAACCGTTAGCGAACAAAACTTTTGACTCTGTAGCAAGAGTATAAAAGTCGGCGTCGTCACACCAAAAAATAGGTTTTTCGGAGCCAAACAGAGCTCTTATATTGCTACACAACCAAAAACTTCTAAGAGTTGTTTTTGAGTTTTTTTCGTTAGCCGTTTTTTGACAGATTAACATTACCTTTAAGTCGTGTCAACTTGTCATGTTATTTTTATTCCGTATTGTTTGACATTTTATCGTAGAAATGCTTACGCTTGAACAACGTTTACAAATTGTTCAACTTCGCGCGCTTTGCTTAACTTATGGTCAACATACGTCGGAGACCCAGCATTCATTACAGGAAAATATTCGGCCGAATAGATCATGTCCAGCACGCAGTGAAGAATATGTAGCAGCTGACTGACGTAGGGCACAACTTGACGCATTTTTCGTCGAGATATTAAATTGAAAGCGTACAAAATATATCTTGTGCAAGATCTGAAGCCGCAAGAAAAGTTCCAAGAAGATCCGTCGTTTTCGAGCCATAACCATCAATGGCGACCGTTATCGCGCCATGAAAACTGACTATTTGATACCCGAAATTGATTGAAATCACATCAATAAATTGATTTATTTCACGTTTTGGGCCGGTCGATAGGCCATCAGGATCGTGTGATACACCTTAGAGTTTTTTCTGCGGAGATACACAAAGTCTTAAGTCTATGCGGATAATCGCATAGATTTAAAAGTTGGAGCAAAATACTCGAAATAGTCATCGAAAATTGAACTCAGCGAATGGACCATCTGAGACTTAGGCCCTTATTCAGCTGTTGCTAATCATACATAAATAAATCACCTAACTCTTACATCAAAAAAATATTACTGCCAAAGTACTAACGAAGCGTGACCAATATATATGCAAAATTGTAATTCTGACTTTGGGCAATAAACCAATTTGCAAAATAAGGATATAAAGACGGATATAAAGAAACACTCTTACGACTGCTGATAGTGACATTGTGGTGTACTGGCTATCTTGTGTTTGTTTGCTCTCTTGATTATATTAAATGTTGAGTCTAGGTCAGTTCATACAATACAAAAAAAACATTCTAAAAACTATTTATGTACGAGTACTCGCGGTCACATGTGCTGCCAGCCGACTTAAGCAACACGTTTTTATCCTGGGTGTTGCAACACAGCGCAGTAACAGTGTCAACAATGCGCCAATGGAAAGTTCAAATTTCTTTGAAAAAGTTCGTTAAAATGTGCCTGTTTGTCATCTTTTTTATTGAGTTTTCTTTGCTTCTGTCTTGCACATGTCGACAGTAGTGCGAAAGATGTGTATTGGAACCACATTTGTACACATGAACGTGTTCTGCTCGGCAGAACAACGCTGAGCAGCTGACTGTTGTAAGCACAGTTGGTAACTGAAGAGAATTATTCCCGCAAACATTGACTGGAAAAGTAAGAGAGTTATGTCGAAAAGAAGTAGAGTGTGAAAGCTGCAGAGAGCAATAAATGTGGAGCCATACATTAGCATCGGCCGTATTCTATCGGGTTTTGGTTACTTCATCGGACTAGTCTAGGAGGAAATGAAAAAACTTTTCATTCACAGAAATCAGTAGCCTTTTATCGTATTTGACAATTTTTTTATTGATTTGTTATTTAATGGGGCCCTCACACGAATGTTATGTTCTGTTGATGACGAAATGTTAAAAAAAATTAAACAAGTAAGGAAGGTCGAAGTTCAGGTGCAACCGAACATTCTATACTCTTGCAACTGACAGCAATCAAAGCTAGGAAAATACCTTAAAGTGCAAAACGTCAGGATCGGCATCTAAGCAGTATATATAACTCATACACAGACCGACGTATTCGAAATAGAGCTTATTAGAAAAACGAAAGTCATTAAACATTTGTACTATTTGGGAGTTGGAGGCAATATCGTCCCAAACATGTCACATCCTACTTACTAAAATGTTAACTGAGATTCATTAACATACCTCACATACCATTACCAAAAATCAGGGGCGGATCCAGAACTACAAATTTTGTACTTGCAACTTACTCAAAGTCCGTTTCTTCGCGGAGTGTATGCGCGGAATAATGTATAACTTTGAACTTCGTCCTTAGCAATGACACTTTATAGATTTTCGCTTAGTGAGCACAGCATTCCGATTAAGCCCATTTGCAATACCAACTGCATTGCGATGACGAAAAACATGTGTATATAGTAGTTTCATTAAGAACATCGCAATTTTTACCACTGTTGCAGCTTGAACGGATGGACGGACGGAAAGTCATAAAATAAAATGAATAATATTGAGCAACTCTATGAAATGACCCCGAATTTTTAAGCATTGGTTGTAAACAACAACGGGGGTGCTCATCTGATTATGGCACGTTTAGACATACATTTCCTTCCTTTTCTTGATAACTGCTTGTCAAAACATACATAAAAAGATGAGAGTTGCCAAAAATTTTGCTTCGTTTCGAATAATTTTTATGTGAATGTAGTCAAACAAATGATGTATACCGAATTTATCTGAAAGAGAGCAAGTCTGAAGCAAAGCGAAGGCAAAGTAGACGAGCTTGGTAGTTTCGGCCAAATTGAGAGAGTAAACGTTGTTTATTTTCGAGAATTTCGAATTCATGTGTTGAACACAATGCTCGCGAGAGACTGCAAACGACATCTGTCAAATATTAAAATACACACGTTCTTATGAACAGACCTATTTTGACAACTGCACGACTGCAGGTCGACAGTTGTCGTTCTCGCTAACTTCAATATATTCTTATATTTGCCAATGACTGTAGGAAGAGTCGTGATGCCAGTAATATGTAAAGTGTAAAATTACTCAAAGCTCTAACAAACCTGACGTTATTTTACAAATAAAACCATAAAATAGCCCTGTTACATCATTTGTAATAACAATTGATAATTTAAAGCAAATAAATTTACCTACTTACTTATTTTTTGTATAAAACATTTCACTTTGAACAAAATATTAAAATTTCATTGAAGTGCAAGGTATTAGTATGGCCACATCGAAATTGTGTACATGCAAAATAGACAACATCGTTGTTTTGTTCATGTAGTAGGATTCACAGCGCCATTTTCAGTTCACTGTCGTGCTGCTGCAGTCTGTCGCGAGCATTGTGTTCGGCACATCAATGAGCGTTGCGCACACGTTTGGAGAATGTACACATACTTACATACATACTGGTGTTTATATAGTCATACTACTACTTCGATATAAAAGGATGGGTGCCAAGTGATAAGCTTCAGATAAACGATAGCTTTGGGTGCGAACGGTTGTGCTCTTTCTTTATAAATTTTATTATTATCGGACTAATTAAGTCTCAGTGAAAAAAACATCTGAAATTCAACCCTTGCATCCAAAATGAGTTTCTAGTAAAAATAAATAAAAAATGGTATAAGCAAGTTAATGCAAAGGACAACAGAAAATTAATAACAATAATTGTGGATGCACTAAAAGATTTTACGCCTCATTAAGCAGTAACAAGCAATAGAACGTTACAGTTCTTATGGAAAATTTATAAAGGGACAGAAAAGTAAACAATAAATCGGTAAGCTAAACGACTTCGAGCATAAATTGCATGTTGTCGGGCTGACAGCAAAATAGAACAAAATATACGTATCCTGTATAGCTCCGTTAACGTCAATCTCGGAAATACTTATATATACATATAATGAAGTTTGTAAATAATGGGCTGGATCAAAAGTCTAAACAAATTTCTAATGCATAATATTATAGTAAAATAAAGATACATACTGCCTTTAGACAGTATGGTCCCATAGGTAGAACCTTGAACTGTATGTTTGACGCTACGTATGAGTAACTTGAATTCAGTGATTGTCATAAACAATCCGTCTCAGTTTCGAAGTTATATGTCAATATTACAGAATTGTTAAAATATTCAATTAGGCCATATTCGGTAGTGAAGGGCAAAAGTACATGCTCAGAAAAACTGTTTAAATATCTATTATTGTTATTCTTAGCCATCGAAACCACTTATCGAGTTTAGAAATTCTTGACATCCCGTCCGAAACCTTTTTAGATTATGTTATATTTTTCAATGCTCATAAAAGAATCTTTCTAATAGTAAAATACTCAATGTCTCTGTTATTAAAGCACCTAAGAAGAAGGGAGAATGGAACTATTTTATAATCACAGCATTTATAGATTATAATAGAATAAACTGCATCGCTTTTTTCTACACTAAATTAAACTTTAGTATATTGCCGTTCATAAAAGTTCAATTGATATTTGGCAAAATAATCCTAAATAATTTCTTTAAAAGAATGTCTCGTTTTACTGAGTTAAATTCACTTGTAGTATTTTTATACGCTGGCAGGCTATATTAAATGTGTCACGAGGTTTTCAGCATCCAAAAAGAAACATCGGATACCCTATAATGTAGACGATCAAACTCAACGATTAAATTCCACCCCTTGTATGGAAAATATTTAAAGGTATTTTCCCAAATTTGTCACACACAGTGGAAAGTCCTTTTATCTGCCTAAGAATAAATTTAACACAGAAAATTTCAAAGTTTTTTACTTCTTTACTTCATGTTCAATTCTAAGCAAAATGGTTAATAATACAAAAATTAAAAAAAATATTTTGCACCTTACAGAAACTTGAAAAAATTAGCTAATTTTAAGTATTAATACATAACCCTTTATTACACAAAACACTTTGTACAAGGCTTGGTATAATCTCCATTAAATTATGTACAAATTCATTTGAAATTCTAAAAGTATGCCATTCTCGCTGTACTCGCTACCAAAGCTCGTTTAGATTCGGTGAGGGAGGAGAACATCAATAAGATATTTTGTGCAGCATGTTCTTGGTCGTCATCCTGTTGAAATATGACTTCTTCTTTAAGACAATCGCTCCTCTCCTATCCATAGATTTTTTGTAAGGGTATAACATGTCACCATATGAAGCAACTCGATATCAAAACAGCCCCTCCACTATACTTTCGCTGTTTTAGTGATGGTCTCCCTGGGGGATATAGCATATATATAGTTTGCAGTCATCTGCTGTTTAATTTCGGCGATCTCTGGCGAATTTCGATCGTACCTTGACATTCTTTACGTGATTCTCAGTTTCTGTTTTTTACAGCTGCGATGTAGCTCATGCCGCAGAGCATTCTGGCATTCCGTTTACAAACAAACTTATTTATTTCCATAAATGTTGCTTGTTCCTTGTTGTATATTTTATCATGAAACGTTCGCATGCATCCGTCAAAATTTTATTGTGGTCCATGATTTGTGTTTTGGGACAATTAGTTTTTTTCTGGAAGCTTATGACCACTGATGGGCTTATTCTAAGCACTTTATATATTATTCGTGTGGAAGATCTACTTTTGTGATGACTATAATACTTCACTCAATGTGTGGAGATAGTTTTTTCATTATTTTGAAGAGCTAAGAAATTAATGCAATAATAAAAAAAGTTCTTACCAGGCAATAGCTCAATATCAGTTAAATATTTTGTTTAAGTCGTGAACAAACTTTGATAATTTTTTTTTGCAAACATAACGGGTGCATAATGGCGTATACGTGAGTGGTTTTAATTTTATTTGTTTACTTCTTAAAATTTGATATTTTTTCTGTATAATTAACCTTTTTTTATAATTGAACATAAACTATAGGGATAAAAACGGTTTTAAATTTTCTTAGCTACTTCTATACAGAAATAAATACACGAAGTGCAAACTTGTACTCATTTGTGCTTCCCATAATGGTTGAGTCACATAGAATTTTCGCTTTACTTTGCTTCAGACATTTGCTTCGATAAGTTCGATGTATGCTCGTTCACATCGCAGGGTAGGAAAATGTTGGGCAACTGTCTTCGCTTGAGATTTGCACCAAATTTGGTTGACATTGGTTGAGTATTTGTTAAAATATGGGATCTCAGCTTAATACGAGCGCTGCCACGCCCATTGTCCACTTTTTAACCTGATACAAATGCCTACTACCATATCATTTCTGCTGTTAAATTTAATGCTTCTCGCGAGTTACCGTTCTTTTAGTTTTAGGTGTTACAAGCAATAGCTAGTAGTTAACATATAATACACCATATTTCGCTAACATTTAGGTGAATCTTAAGACATGCTTTGTCTTAATTTCGAAATCACTGTTTGTAAATATAAGTTAGTTCTTCATTATTTAAGGCATATTTGATGAATACTTCAATGTGATGTTTATTTCTTTCGCAGGGTTCTTAGAAACATCTACCAGTTTTTAGTTTCTTTTTGATTTATGGATTTAAATTAAATTTAAACAGACAGAGTATACTAGACGTTGGACTTGCTTCTCAATGCCATTAAATTGGAAGTAAAATCTAAACTAGGTATGTCTATGCATGTTCGAATAAAGAAAAAACCAATTTAATTTTGCCAGCGCGCCAGGACTTTAAGGAGAGCAAATAAGTGTACGTGTAGTTATTTGTGACTACGAAGAAATTGAGAGCAGTCACAGAGGCACTCAGTGGTCGTTTCAACATCGCCGTTAACGTTATCATGCCAGGGCCGTGTCAACGCCTCCGCTTACCCTCTTTGGCGGCGGTGATGCGTACAACACGCGCTTCTACCACCGACTACACCACCATTGCAATACGCAAGGAGCAGCGACGTGTGGTCATGATGGGAGCTGCACGTGTTGGAAAGACTTGCATTATTTCACAATTTCTCTATGATAAATTTCAAGCCCGCTACAAACAAACAGTGGAGGAGTTGCATCGTGGGGAATATGAGCTGCCAGATGGCTCGGCATTAACGTTAGACATTTTAGATACATCCGGTTCGTATGAATTCCCCGCAATGCGTACTTTGTCGATATCAGCAGCGGGCGCCTTCATCTTGGTGTATGCGGTTGATGATAAGCAATCATGGTTTGAGGTGGAAAGACTAAGGAAACAGGTGGGTGAATTGTTGATTCTTTGAATATTATGATGAAATGCATGAATCATGCGATTGACATCGAAATAATAAAAAATGTATATATGTGTGGCAGTAATAGCAAAAAAAAAAAAAGCACTTATTTGCAGAATATATCCAAGATTACAATTTAAATGTTACATTCTATGTATTAAATCCTTTATCAAACGCCTAACTATTATGTACTATTAATATATAAAGTACATGCGGTTGAAATCAAATCAAGAGAAAAACTGTTATTTAAAAACGCTTGCTATTTCATCTCCTTTTCATTATACAAGAGTAGAGAAGAGAACATTATGGATACATCTATGGAGTAATCGTATTCTAAGTTATCATAAGATTGTCCATTTATTACAAAATTCACTATATTTATTACAGCGTCTTATCMAAAARATAGTTATTTTACGTTTTAATGTTTGACGATAAAGTTGGATGAAAGTACGGCGGAGCGTTAAACATATGGTCCGTTCCCTCGAGTGGTTGAAGTAAAAGAGAAAGAGTCGTCTGTGCGTGGCTGGAGTGTCTGTTTTCTACGGCGTCGTAATGGGCGACTCATTGAGTCGTCACGCCGCGTAATGGCTGGTGAGTGCCGGTCGTTGGAGAGAGATGGCAGATGGGTGCTGTTAGCAAAATCTTATGTATAAGTTTATCCTTGAAAACCATAATAAAAATAGTACATAGGGAACGGAAATTAAGAGCACAAACATACATACAATAATTTCAAGGTCAATAAAAATTAGCTATTATGTTTACATTTATTGACCTTGCTCTTCTAAATGCTGTAGCCCAAATTTGATTAACATATGCAACTATTTCTTCATTACAGATAATAGCAAAGCGTGGCCTCAAGGTGCCCATTGTCATCGTTGGTAATAAGATGGACATAAACGAAGCCGATCGGCAGGTGCAGCATGAGGTCACTGAAATGATTGTATGTGAGGATTGGAAATGCGGTTACATCGAATGTTCGGCTAAGGAGAATGTAGGCATTGTAGAGATTTTCAAAGAATTGTTGGTACAAGCGAATATTCGGTACAATCTAAGTCCTGCCGTGAGGCGACGAAGGCAATCACTACCTTCCTATAGCAGCGCAGCAGCAGGAATAACACGTACCATAAAAAATCCATCACATAAATATACATTAAAGCGTCACTCATGCACTATGACATGAAGGGTATAAACGAAGGCTAGTAAAGACAATGTGGTTGAGAACTCAATATTTGTATAAATAAGGAGCTGCTTGGACTTTTTGGATATTGGTAATGGATAGTGCAAAACAGATGTTAAACCTTTTGAAGTTTAAAAGAAATTCGCCAACAATGAAACCCTAACTTAGGCTTATAGAAATATTACACTTACACTTATAGTGTCAAAATCATTTTTCTGCCAACAGTTCTTTTAGAGCTAACGAGGACAGTGAAAACAATGCTGAAAATTATGCAATTTCGGTTAGGCATTAAAGCCATTATTCCGATTTGTTTTTGTTTTTTCTAGATATGTATCGAAGGAAAACAAAAAATTTAATGAGCTTATTCTTTTGCCTGGGAAATGGAATACATGATAATCCAAAAAACGTGTTCGCATAGCATTGGACTTCTCAACTGACATAAAACAATAAGAAAACGCCAAATTGTGTAGTTCGAGAAAAATGCAGTGATAGAAGTATTTTTGAAAGAAGTTATATTAGTTTTTTATGCCATGTACATATATTATATGTATGCAACTACATATATTTAAATAAATTATATTCGCATATGTATATATGTAAGTATGTTTTAAACGGTATTGTAGTTTACCCGATTGTAAAATTTAGTAAATATTTGTAGAATTAAAGTTTTCAAAATCCGAAATATATTTATTAATATACTTTTTGCAAAGAATTATATCAACTATAGACCAATCAAATGTAGTTTTGTATGTATCAAAATAATATATTTATACCATTGTTAGTAGAAGTTCGCTATTTAACGAATTTTTAAACTAAGGTTAACATGTATACAAACGTACGTCAATCTAAATAATATAATTCAAATGCCTAAAGTGAATATGAAATTTTCTGCACCTACTAATTTGGAGGAAACTTGAGACAACATTATTAAGTATCACTGAACTTGACGTCAAATATACTGCAAGCTTCTTACTAAATGTGAAACAAGAACGTAATAAGTATATAGTATTAAGTCAAAAACGACGTATTTGTATTTACAATGTGTTTTTCCAAACTACGAAGATTACTGAAAAAGCAGAAGTAAAGAGCAACAATAATGTTTTTTTGAGTTGAAAATACTAAATAAATGTTACAACACATATAAACACGTTTAGAATGCAAAATAGGTGGTAAATGAGTAAAATACAATCTTCAAACATTTATAAAACAAATTGAGAAAAAATGAAATGGAAGAAAAAATAACATCTGGTATAAGGGATTTATAAGTAGAAAAGTAAAAATGTTTTTACAGAATGTATCAGTTTTGTAAATTCTATTGAATTTTAATAAAAAATTATTTCCAGAAATGTAGATTTATTTTATATTGGGCAGACAAATACTGCAATACACTTAGAAATTTCCTTTCATTTCATTTCAAAATTTTCTTCTACAAGTGTCCTCTTGCCATCAATATGCACATATTTTGGTCTACTAAAATTGTAAAAATGTTGAGTCAATTTGCTTTTGTACTTCCAGGGGATGTTGTAAAATCAATCGAATTGTGAGTTGCAAGATTCTTGTCTTATTTATTGTGGACAGAATTGAATTGAGTTTTTTTTCTATTAAGAAAATGCTGTTTAAATGGAATCATATCTATCCAACGCAACGTAAGATCCTCTCAGCACAAGGCACCGCACACTAGTTTTGCTTACATATACATGCATACACATTCACTTATTACTTTGGACATTTTATATTGCATTAGAAGTTATCATACATATTTTGATACATGCGTATTTGTTAAAAAAAAAAAAAAATTTAATAAATAACCCAAAGGACACTTAAAGTTTGCACAATTATTAGAAAAGTTAATATAGCAGCCACTGATAATGATATCAACTTTGAACTGGCATCTTTATTGTTCTTGACTTAATTTCTGCAGTAGTTCCGTCATCTGTGCCAATCGTTCCTCTATATTCTTCAGTCTTCTTTCCGTATTCGCTTCACGCATCTTATCTTCTTGTGATGTGTTTTTTCGTTCGATTACTGCCATAGCTAATTTTACAGTTCGACTATCCATTTCAGAGCATCTTCCGGTAATGCAGGTGCAGCAGCAGGGCAAGAATGAAACGGGTGCATCAAGCAACTTTTTCTGATGATTGGTATTTTCTTCTGAAAATGGTAAAAATTGTGATTTCGAGTTGCGAACATCAATAGTCCGGGCGAAATTGTATTTCGATTCTACACTGGCATCTCCGTTGGCCACACCGACGAATACTTTATTGTGGTCATTCGGTAGAATGGCGATTTGCCTGCCAACAATATAATTGGAATCAAGATTCATTAAGCGGCGGCATATTGTGCGGAACGGTTCATGTTTAATGATGAAACTGGCATGTCCGGTGCGTCCAGTCAGGACTTGTTCGTAGCGTGTGAGTAGAAGAGTTCGACAAATGGAACCATTTAGTTCGGCTTGCGCTTTAATGGCCTGTAAAGAAAATAGTATATGTACATATGTATATAACAGATATACTGTCTGATTTTCATACACCAAAAATTTGAATTTTTACTGTTGGTGGATGCCTAAAAAATATTTTATATATTTTGGATACAACCGGATCATTTTCCGCAACATACTACAACATAGCTTAATTGGTTATGGAAGTATGGAATTCTTAGCAGATTATCTTATATATATTAGGGTTCAGTTACTAACCTGTGTGTCGCTAACAGCAAGACCATTGAGCAAGTTGAAAAGCACAATTGACATGAATACCACAAATATTAAGAATATCAAATAGCTGTAGACGGTATCAAATTCAATATCTCCAGCATCGAATTCACCTGTCAACATTACAATAGTTTTGATAACCGCTGTAAATGGGTTTGCAAATTTGTTGAACTCGCCACCATCACTTACGGCGTCGGTGCCGTTCGTAATATCGTTGACTTCCGATGATTTGCCAAATAGAATATAGAAGCACAAACTGAATGTTATTACGAATATTGAGTAAAGAGCAAAACTCTTGATAAAGCTCTTTAATACGGCACGCAGCATTAGCATATGTGTAGAGATGGAAAGAACTGGCAATGAACCCACCAACAAGCAAAGCTCCATAGCGACGAGGAGTATCGTGAATACAGCTATTACTCTCTGGGTTTCGAGGTTATAGCTGGACTCTGTACAAGTCAGAATTGAAAATATAATAAGTGCCACTTCCATATAATTAATCGCCGAACAGAAATATTTCATTGGAGCCAAAACAAATTGTATTATTTCGCGCATAAGGAGGTAAATGATGCCAACCCATGAGAAGAGCCCGAATAACACAGTTAGAGCTTCGTATTCGCTTTCACGAAATTTCAGTATGGTGTGTATTATAATGCTTAGGGCAAAACAGAAGTACAAGAGAAAGTTAATATAAAAGATGACAGATAAACGATGCCATTTGAGGAACAAAAAACTGGTGATAAGTGGGTGTTGTAGCAAATGGCGATATTCTTTTGATTCAGCAATATACGCAATCGGTGGCATCTCTTCGTGGAAGTTTTGTGCACGCAATTTCGTTGCATGACTCAAGCGCGGATGTGCAATGAGATTCTTGAAATTGACTAATATTTCAAAGTCACTATCACCAGGCTTATAACCATTTGTAGTGACACAATCATCAAAGTGTTCCTCCAACACTTCCGGATATATTCCATCGATGGGCAAATCATTAAAGGAGCTGCGCATGCCAATGTAGGCACCATGACGTAGTAATTCTTGGATAACTAAGCGATTGCGATACTTAACGGCATAGTGAAGTGGCGTTGAGCCACTGGGATCTGTCTCATTCACATCAACGCGATCCGAATTTAGTAGAAAGGAGAGACATTTCTCGTAATTGACAAAATCGTATAATGGCTCATCGCCTAAGTGACTAATGACAGTGATTAATAATTGATCCTGCCGGCGCAACTTGAGATCATTATGTTCTAATAATATTTTTAGAGCTCGCCAATTACCAAAAATTGTTGCAATATGTATGGGTGTTTGATTATCTAAGGTGCCATTTATATTCACGGTGTAATTTATGAGCAAATCAAAAGCTTTGTGTGTACCGCGCTTTATCGTCTCTATGAATAGCTGAAGTTCTTGCTTCTCTACTTCGTTCGCATTGTTTTCTTTTTCAATCATTCTGGCTTTGAATTTTGGAAATTGTTGGACAAATTCCTCTTCGTTACCATTACGAAGGAGTGAAAAAAGCCTGTCTAAGCTTACGTCGACTGCACTCAATTTTGTCAACATTTCGGGGTAATCACGGTTCAACAATTCACGTACTTCGCCATCTCGAAAGCTATCGACATCTAAATCTTGCTGAGAAGTGAAAAGTTCAACAAGTTCTCGCTTAATTTGACTGTCCAGCTTTTTGTTTTTCAAAATATGGTTCAATGGCGTCATTTCACGGTCGTCAGGCTTGTTGGGTGAGGCGCCATATTCCAGAAGAAGTTTAATGCAAGCGAATACATCGTTCTGATTCTCTGCAGTCAATTTTTTGGCGAGTATATTAAGAGGTGTAAGTTTGGCATAGGGTCGATCTACTTGTACATCTTTGTTACGCAGGAGTATATTGAGAATTTCTGGATCCAGGGAATCTGCGGCAAAACTGATTGCTGATTTCTTCCAATGTTGGTTTAACTAAAAAGTAAAAAAAAAATGGTTGAAACAAGTAAAGAAGGGCTAAGTTTGGGTGTAAACGAACATTTTATACCTTTCAACTTGCAAGAATATAAGTCCGAGAAATTTCTTCGGGAAAATATGAGAGATGGGGTTTGTATTGTTCCGATAGATATATATATAGATATAGTTTTGCCAGTACCACATATTATTAACATGCCGCGTACCAAAAATATGTGTCTTACAAAATTTAGTCGAAATCGGGGTAATATATGTATTTATATAAAAGTGGTCATTACCACGCCTATTTGAGTTTTATATCTTATTCTTATCTTGAATGCTTAGTTATGACACTTTATACTTTAATGGCTATTTGTGGCAGTGGTCTATCTAAGAGCTCCATCTAACTTTTTTTTGCCAAGGAACATGTGTACCAAGTTTCATCAAAATATCTTAATTTTTACTCCAGTTACAGCTTGCACGAACGGACGGACAGACAGACAGTCACCCGGATTTCAACTGTCTCGTCACTTTGATTATTTACTTATATATTCTTCTTGATTGGCGTAGTCACCGTTTACGCGATTATAGCCGAGTTAACAACCGCGCGCCAGTCGTTTCTTTTTTTCGCTACGTGGCGCCAATTAGATATTCCAAGCGAAGCCAGGTTCTTCTCCTCGTGGTCCTTATATATATTATTTATATAGTATAACCCTATATCTATTTCAATTAGTTTTAGGCGATACCCACAACCGTTAGGTGAACAAAACTATTATACTATAGTTATTGAGAAAGTAACATTACCGACAATTTTTAACCAACTTCTCCATACATTTACTTACATGATTAGGACTGCATCCATGATTCAAACATTCCTCTACAAA